TGTACATCAGAAAATGCGCCTTGAGGCATGGAACATATGTACCAAATATGCCAAAGATGTCTACAAAATTATCTCAGTTATTATTAAAAAACTGATAATTTTTGAAAACTTTGCCACCCTGTATCTCAAAAGTTAAGGCGTTTAGGACATACGTCCATAGGAAGTTTTTTTCTTAAAATGGATCTAAGATATTAGCATGTGTTTAAGGAACACCCTGTATAGCAAAAACTATCTGCGGGATTAACGCAGCCACGTTTCTATACTTTAGACATTTTTGTACTGTTACATACGTCGAGTGCGATACTGCATTTACAGGAGTTAACGCAGTTCACAGGAGTTAAGACAGCACACATGTCTGGAATTAGTTATAAAGAATTTAAAAAATCATAGAATCTCCGAGATATGTTTAAAACTCAAAAAGTATTTTCTTTCCTTTAATGATTTTTTGTTTATTAGGTCTCCTTCGAATGTATTTCGCTCAGCTTTCATCCATTTGGTGTTGCTCTTGCTGTTGGAAGTACAGAAGGACATCTTATAATAATCAACTCGGAAACCGGAGTGGTCGTTAATACCATAAGGGTTTGCGGGTCACCACTCAACTGCGTTGGATTCAACCCCTGTAAGTTTAAAAATTTGGTTCAATTTTCTTATTGTTCGGAATGAAAATGCATTCGAAATATATCTAGAATTTTACTTATTTAGTTTTTTATATTTTCTACGGCTTTTCCCACTGCTAGGTGATATACCTTTATATACCATCATTTATAAATAAACTGAAAATTCAATTTAATCCAATTTATTTCATAGCTGGTGAACTAATAGCTATCGCTTCCCAAAACGGCAGCATATACCTCTTTAGGGTGAGCAGGGATGGTTACTCCTACAAAAAGTCGAATAAAATACGTGGTTCTCAAGGACTCATGCAGATGGACTGGAGTTCGGATAGTAATTTCCTCCAAACCGTCACAGCCGATTATGATCTTTCATTCTGTAAGAAATTAAAAATACATTGTGTAAGTAGTTTTCAATTTTGATATTTTCCAGGGGATGTCAAATCTCTCTCGCCAGAGAAAAGCCCCATCGCGATGAAAGACGTGAAATGGTACACTCACAACTCCACTGTTGGATTCATGGTTGCAGGTATGAGATAATCTGAGATAAAAACGTGTTTCGGTTTGGTTCTGAAAAAAATTCTAACAACTGTGTTCACCGAAAAAAGTAAACGAGTGAAGCTGAAAGCCAGAGCCAAAACACAACGCATTTATCAACGCATCAGTAGTGCTAGGCTGAACCTCAAATGCATTGCTACACTCAACAGTCCTTGAAGGCCAAGCCTCTTAATAAAGTTTATTAACTATAAGTTAATAGAGATGATGACGTTTTTTATTGTCTAGAATACACATTATTTATATCAGTTACTTCTTTACTAACTAGTAGGTACATAGGCATTTGAGACAATCATTTAATTTAATAAATACATGACGATTTCAGGCCGTTGTTATTGGTTAGTGAGAAAGATTGTCGAAGATTGTCGGTGTTATACTTCTGCACTCTGCTGTAATTCGTTGGCGAAGATCTTCTATGGACTCGGGCTGCGTAGCAAAACATTTATTTTTCAAGTGTTCCCAAAAGAAAAAGTCTAAAGGCAATAAATCAGGTGACCTGGCAGGCCATTCGATGGGGCCTCTCCTTCCAACCCACCGTCCGGAAAACCGGTCATCTAAAAACTCTCTTTCCGGAGCAACATAGTGAGGAGGTGCTCCATCTTGCTGGAAATGAAGCCGATCATCATTATGTTTTTGTTCATTTTCAATTATTTCTGTTATGAGAGGATTAATTGTATCTTCAAGCATGTTCAGGTAGACCTCACCAGTTAAATTCCCAGGAATAAAAAGTGGCCCTACGATATCACTACCTAATATGCCACACCAGACATTGATTTTTTGAGGGTACTGGGTATGGACCTCTCGGAATAAGTGTGGGTTACTGTCATCCCAGTAACGGCAATTATGCCTATTCACAGCTCCATTAAAAAAAATGTACTCTCATCGGAAAAGCACGTGTTGAATGATAGGTGCGGATCATCAATAATTAGTAGCTGGCTCAGTTGTTCACAAAATTGCAGCCTTCTATCAAGATCATCTTCATTGAGTTCCTGTACTAATTTAATTTTGTACGGATGAAATTTATAGGATTTTAATATCTGTATTATGGACGAACGAGAGACACCTAAGGCTGCAGCAAGCTGACGGGTACTTTGAGTATGATCCAATTCAACATGTCCCAAAACAGCGACTTCCACTGCTTCATTTTTGATCGGTTTCCGTGGCTGGTGTTTCACATTACAGACAGATCCGGTATCGACAAACCTTTGGACAAACTTGGCAACGTACGAATCATTCACATTTTTCCCGGGAGGACTGTTATTAAAGAGGCGAGCAGTAAGTCTAGCACAACTATTATGTTGATAATAAAATTTAACAATTTCAACTCGTTCAGGAATGGAATAAACCATTTTTACAGTAAAGTTGAAATAATTTCAAAAGCAACCGAACTGAATCAATGAACGTTTGCCTAAATTCTTTTTGTACACTCATCTGCTGTTGTTATTTGAACCAAAAAACGCACGAGAGAAATTGAGGAATGTAGTAGTGATAAAAATGCCGTTTTTTCCGCATTTTCATTAACACCTAAAATATCGAGTAAATGTTCTTTCTTTTTTTATAACTATTCAAGTAAATACAACAAATTAGGTATCATTGGAAAGAGAATTTTGTGCCCTTTCAAATGATATATCACTCGACCCCACTTTCCATTAAAAATTTTAGAGTTGTTACCCTAGCTAGGGGGTTGAAGGCACAGGTAGAAAATTACATCTAAAATGTGTCCCCCTCAAAATAAAAATTGACCTGTCTGAGCATTTTTGCGTTAAGTTACAAAAAAAGGAGAAAAGCAAGGTGCATACTTTTCGTTGGACCACTCGATATATATTAATTTTTAAATAAAGATACTGAATGAAAGTAACTTTTCTAAGATACATTTCTAGGATACCCACCTTTCTCAATATGAAATATAAAAATTGTAGTAAAGAATCGCAATTTAAAATTTTTCAGATCGTTAAAGATGAAATTCCTCAAAAAGTCGTAAAAAACTAAAATGCAGAGTTTACACTAGACCAATTGAAATGTTTGATAGTGTCATATAATGGTTTGTTTACTAACCTTCGTATATTCAAACAGTTTTATTTTTTTGTGCCTTTTTGTAGACCTGCAATAAGAAGAATATTGTAGCAGTTGATAATTGGAGTTTTATATTGAACCGTTTGAATTAACGTAGCTGTGTTATAAATTTAATTTAATAACTGAAAAACTTTGAAGACATAACAGATAGTAATAATGAGCTATAGTTATTAACGTAAGTGTTTTAGTTCACAATTTGGTCATTTTGTTTAAAAGTTGCAAATAAACGGTGTCAGGATTTCAATACACCTCTCATGAAATGTGAATTCGATACTATAACTTTTTGAAAACAAATAGAAGCACAACTCTTTAATATCATCAAACACCATTTTCTTTATTGAAAAATATAATGAACTTCTGTTTCCGATATACCGAACATTCATTATGAAGGAACCACGATTGAAACAAACTGGTGCTGTTAGAAAAAAGGCAAGATAACTCTAGATTTCTAAAATAATACCTACACACTTACGATAATTGTTTTTTTGGTATTTGTAACGGAATTTGCGTATCCATTATTTTCTATTTTAAATAGAGGTGAATTAGCAACGAAACTGAAAACAGTACAATATAAAAAGATTGTTATAATATTGAGCTGGAATAAAACAACGAATGAAGATCAATATAACAATCCTAAACATCAAAGTTAAAGATGCTATCATTTTTCAACTTTGAATCTACTAAGTGATACTGTTTATTAGCTCCTATAACTATATTAATGATGTGCATGAAGAATCTGTAAAAAAATTAAAATGATTAACCGAAAAATAACAATTTTATTAAACAAAAAATAGAAAAACTTTTTTTTTATGTTGAACTTGTTTGTCACATTATTTGCATTTTCATTCTTCAGGAATTTGGAACAACAGGTTTTATCCAATGGTTTCCATTATAAGTACGGCAAGTAGATCAGCAGCACATGACTTATTGATATCTGGTGATACAGATGGTTACCTCAGATTATTCAGGTAAGATTAATATATTTAAGAGATATATTTTCTTTTGCTGCTTGACTTTCCTGCAGTAGATTTGATTCAATAATCTCTGTATCGGAAAATTACCATTTTCAAAATCCTTTTAGAATATCATGTGTAGCAAAAACCCCTGTATGGATCTAAAACATTTTTTATTCATTCATCTTTGAAACAGCATTTTTAAAGGAAATGTTTTCAACAAAATTAGTGTTCAGTAGCTGAACAGTTATACAACTAGGTTACAAGTTTTTGTCAAAAATTGAGAATATGAAATGCACATATGAATTATTTTTTAAATAATAATATGTTTATAATACAATATACAGAATCTCAATTTTGAACATGTTCTTACAAACCAACTGAACAACGAACATTGTTAATTTTTAGAATTCTCTCTTTAGATATTCACGTACTCAAATAACACAACACAGGTTTCACTGTACAATAACTTTTTCAGACGTGTTCAGTTATGATGTGTTATTTGAAGAAGTTATAATTGATATTCATCAAAATTTGGTCAGTTACAAAATATGACTTTTCAATTCACTTGTTTTTTTCAGATATCCTTGCTTGAATCCGAAAGCTGAATATAACGAAGAGAAAGTCTACAGCGGCACCGTAGCTTGCGCGAGATTCCTCTTCAACGACCGAAACGTCGTGACGGTCGGTGGCACTGACGCCTCCCTTATGCTCTGGCAGCTCGTAGAAGAATAGCAGACTCCCCACATGTACTTGCCCTTCCTGAGGAATAATAATAATTACGAGAAACAAGTTGAATCGGATTTCGGGTCAGATTCAGACAGCACAACATTTGAAGTTCTGAATTTACACTACTGAGGACGATGGAGTTGAAACGTACTCTGATACGGGATACAGTATACCTTTTGCTACTTTATAGGTATAAAAAAATATTTGTGGATTGGTGAAAGTGGTAAAGCGACTGATGAGAATTTGGTAATTGGCTTAGGAATGAGACTAACACTGTCCAATTTAAGAAGAGAAATTCGAGAATTCTCACTACCTGCTCATTTCCTGGCGGAATGAATATAAGATTTCCTTATATTTCAATTATTTACCTAATAATTATTCATTTGTATTAGGACGAAAGAGGATGGAAACTATCCGAGATTATTATTGCAACCTAATACTCTCACCGTCTTCTAACGCGCAACTAGTGGGCAGGAACATATTAAAATTTAGAAAGCTCTTCCTACATTCGACATGATGTAATTGAATTGACTTATTTTCCTCACACCACTAGCTATAAACGAGTTTGAAGCCATAACATTCAAAACAACAAGATGAGGCAACAAAATAATTCTACAGATTTTAAACAATCAAAACTTTGTTTCTTTCCATCCAATATTATGAAAATGTTTGAAAAAATATTAGGAATTAATTTAATAATATCCCAAGGTTAGATGTCTTTCGGGCGACATTCTTCACTCTGATTTATCCATCCGACATAACTTGAATTAACGTTATTTCTATATGATTTATAAACAGAGTTATCACATAACTCTGGATAGGTTCAGAGATTTTCCATTCTAATATCTGTAGTTTGTAAAGTAGATTGTTTCCGTTGGTGAAACTGAACAGAACTATTATGATACTATTTTCTAATAGTAATAGGTACATAGTTCTAGTTATCCAGATCGTGGAACTGGAGATGGGGTATTTTGATAATCAAAATGATGGAAGATTAAATATAACAAACACCCTTATTTTTAAGATCCTTGAAATACTCTTGTTATAATACTTAAGTATTCATTCTGTAATCAATAATTCGACAAACAGAAGCCTTCGGGTTATTCCAAACTGCCAATAGTAATAGATTCACTAGGATTAAAATTATCGAATATGTACATGAGTTCATAAATGATCAATAACTATTGAAAGCTTGGTGCATGATTATTAGGCTTATATTACATTTCTATGAATTCGAAATGACAGTAATATAATGAAATTGTTATAAATTTGTTTTGAATTATTTAGGAATGATCTAGTAAATAATTTACAATTGTGAAATAATTTTGAGAATAAAAATGTAAAAATTCCTAATCGTATTTTTCCTTTTCCTGAAGTGAATGAGTTATGTACTTTAATGTTGGCCAAAATGATGAGAGTGTCTTCTTTCACATCCCGATGAAAGTTATAGTTGGAGCGTTCATTTAGGTGTGGTTTGGTATAGCACGCCTCACAATTTGAAATCTCAAGTTATCCCACAAAAAAACGAAACAAAATTCTAATTAACTGCAAGAAAAGCTTTCACCAGCCTGAAAAAGAAGTATTTAATACTTGTTTGATAGGTATGTGCGTACATTTCAAAATATATTTACATGGAAAACTCGAACACGAGCTTGGGAGGTGATATTTGGGGGGTGATGCATATGTGAATTGAAGATTGAAAAAACAATATTACTCATCTATTTCGTAGAAATTTCAATACAAAATGTCACTCTGATATTTTCTATGGGTTTTACACCGCCATCTTACTGCATTGTCCACCCTATATTTTGTTATTCTTGAGTTTTTCGATGCAATCTAGCGGCAATCATCCAATACTTATTTCTTAATGTCACAAAGAGGCCTTCAGATGACGCTGGAGGGCCAGAGACAGAACCACAGTCTAATATTTTAAAACAAGTTAGTTTTGAGAGGTTTCGGCATATGAATTGGTTGTAAATAGCATGACCCAATTTTTCAAATGATAAACGTATCATTGCCGAGTGACTTATCGGGTGCAAGAAACATTTTACTCCGAATGAAAATCTAAGTATGAAAATAAATTTATGAAATATAAAAAAATGTGATGAGTTGAAGAATAGTATTGAAGAAATTAGACAAAAAATGAACAATAAGTATTGATGAGAGGTAATACCACGAAACTGGTCTGTAGGTGATCTATTCAACTGATTATAGCATTGTCCTGCTGCTGGATGAACGAGAAACATCTGTAAAACTAACCTCTGTGAGGTATCTTGCATGAATCTATCGGAATAATTCAATGTCCAGCGTGATATTAGCCGAGCGAGTAGTGGTTTTCTGGCGGGCATTTACCAGAACCTACGGTGTGGGTACTTTAGGAGAGATGAATGTTTCGAAATATTTTTTTCTATACAGTGTGTAAAAGCCAAATGGAATAAATTCATTATTTCCGTTACTGTACATATTTTTAAAATATCCCAAAACACATCAAATGTATATTATAATTTGACAACGTAATGTAAAAATGCCACAATGCCAATGCTACAATGTAAAAATGCCACCCCTACCTTCAACACCCACAACCCCCAATTTTTTAAATGGGAAGTCTAGGTTTGTGATATATCGTTTGAAAGGATTCTTCATTCTTTATTCAAAAATGTTATCGCTTTCAGGTTTATTTCAAAAATAAAGGTAATAAATTGAAATCATGTGGTTACCGAAATTCGATAAAATACACTCAAAAACCAAAATGTAATGCAAAACGTAATGAAATGTAGAACACGAAAAAGAACTATGGATGTTAACGAAGTGGATGTTTAAAATATTCACCGCGAAAGTCTTGGCAACATACTAATCTCAAATAAAACTGTCTTTCAACATTATTTAACATATCAGGCCGATCTACCTAATCGCAAGCGTTATTCATTCTTTCAAGTCATTTAATCGATCCTCGCCTCCTTTTCTACCGATTGGGAAATGTTGTATGGAAGTATTGCCAGACATTAACTTGGTAATGTGGTGGTGCTCCATCCTGCTGAAACTATATCGTATTCACTGGAACTTGTGGGTTTTCTGGATCAGGATATAAATCTGCTAAACTTGGAATGATATCATTTTGAAGTAGTGCCAAATAATTATCGCCATTCAAGTAGCCCTCAATGAAAAAAGGGACCAATGATATGGTTTCCTACAATCGCTGCCTAAACATTAACCTTTTGAGGGTATTACGTGTGTTCTCTCATCCAGTGATGACTTTTCGTTGACCAGTAGCGGCAATTTTGCCGATCATTGTCTTTCATGAGCTCCTGAGTAGGTATCATTTTATAGATATGACCAAGCTCGCGAAACTGTTTCTCTATTTTGCTTATTGTTCCTTGAGATATGGGTGGTAAATTAGGAAATTTGTCATGAAATAGGCGAGCTACTTCCTGTTGTGTTTGGGTTTTATCTCTTTAGCCAATCATTTGTAAAACTATCATTTTATGCATTTCCGTTAATCCAACTGTTTGTCAGACTTGAAGTTAACGAACTTTAAACTTAAATGAAAATACTGACAACAAATGTAATATACAAAACAAGTTGACACGTCATTTTAAACTAACGTTGCCACGGAAATTATTTGCAGTTTTTTAAAAGATACCATCTAAAAAGAACATTGCTATGGTTTTTATTTACTTTCTTATTTTCAATACCTCAACATGAAATAAGTTTTGAGTTTATTGCAATAAGTTTTGAGTGTATTTTATCGAATTTCGGTAACCATGTGATTTTAATTTATTTTATCTTAACTGTTGCAATGAACTTGAAGCGATAACAATTTTGAATAGAGAATGAAGAGACCTTTCAAACAATATATCACAAGCTTATACTTCTTATTTAAAAAATTGGGGGTGTACCTGTCATTCGGCGGGGGTTGAAGGTAGAGGTAGCATTTTTCCGTTGAAGTATGTCAAATTATGATAATTTGACTTGATTCGGGATTTTGTTAAAATATGTATAACCTCGATACAGTATTCAAACTCATTTTGATTTCGTTATATTTGCTAATAGAATATGAATGAAAGTTTGAATGATAATCATTGATGTAGAGAAATTTAAAACATTGACATTTCTCCATCATAATGAAAATCTACCACTCTCTCAATATAATGGTGTTTTACAATGATGGAATGGATAAAGGCTGGAGGCTCAGCAGACTGTCGTGGTGGGAGAATTTCATTAAGTTATTGTTAAGAAGTTTTGAGACATAGCTGTTCATAAACAGGAAATAAACTAATGGTGGTAGTTTTATTATATATTTCATCAGAACATTTGCACTTTCAGATGCAATTCATGGTCATTTTAATATCAATTCAATTAATCCAAAATTTGTGTTTAATTTGGTTGAAACTCGGAGAATTTTCAACATGACCGTCGGCCATGGTGTTCCGGTTCTGTAATGGCTCTTGGTGTGGTCCGGCGGCAGTCGATGTTCTGCGAATTTTTCACTCAAATATTACAGTTCAAAACAAACTCTTAGAAACGAAAAATCCTTTTGAAACAACCTAATATTATTTCACATTGCATTTTTTTGATGTAGCATTTTCTAATTGCTCAACATATTGTTTTTGTTTTTTCATTAAATTAATTACCATAAGAGTTGCCTACTCCACACTACTGGAAATAATATTTGAGACTAGGTTCAAGAATTATTTCATTGAATTTTATTTGCAAGATATTTTTGGAGTTGAGTACAAAAGGGTCATGATTAAAGCAGATGTTGCACACAGTTTTAATTTCACATTTGGGACGTAATGATGATGTCTCGATATAACATTTTTGATCATCACAACATATTCTGACACGTCGTAAATGCTGACTGAAATAGCATGCCAAAATTACAGATCATTTTTGCTGGGACAAGAAAAAAACTGATCATAAGAGCGCCTCCATAGGAAAGCTGGGATCGTTAACCAATGAGAGACCATATTTGCAAAATATTTACTTACCTCTGTTTCCTTCATTTGGGGTTTATTGTTTGAAATGTTTTTTCAGTTATTCATACAAACAAAAATTCTTAAAAGTTGAAAGTTGTTTATGCTGAGCATTAACAAGGTCTTGTCCTTCAACATGCCATTCCTAGTACGTGAAGATTGAAATAAAGATAAAATTATTTCTTAAGAAAACTGTAATACTTTGAAGCATGTACATATATACAAAGCTTTTTCAACAAACGATAAAAAATTAAAATATTGACATATTTACAGAATTAAAGTAAAATAAAAACAGTTTCAAATTGATACTTAATCTAAGTATTATCCCCAGACATGTCAGGCTGATCCTTCTTGGTTTTCCCGACTTCGGAAACTTCCGACGAAGACGAACTGTTCTCCTCACCACACCTTTCGCACTTCATCTCCCTTTTTTCACCCACCAAAACCGTCTCCTGATTTTGAATATCCGTAATATCCGTAATTTTTCCATCCTCGCCTTCCTCACTGATAACAGTCCTTTCACTGCCGAAACTTTTGCTCGGCACTAACTCCATGGCTTCCTTCTTCAGCTCCTCTCCCACTTTGTCGTTCATTTCTGAATTGTCATCCGCACATCCACAGTACCGATCGTCGAAAATGTTGGTGTAGACATGTTCGATGCACGGTCCCGGATTCTGAGATTCGTATTTCTCCGTTTTGATCCGACACGAGTCGAATACAGCAATGGTCGGCGTGTAGTTGATAGGTGTCGCTTCAGTACGTTCGCTGGGGAACATGGTGCTTTTGGTGAACACTTGGATCGGTCGTCGGAATCCTCTCGCTTGGTGCGGTGGGTAGCCTAGGATCTCGCTCTTGGCGAAGCCCACTGCCGGAGACAGGAGGTATTCCCGGAATTTGTCAGGGAAGAATTCTATGGAGTTGTAGTTCTTGTAGATAGTTTCCTGAAAAAAAATTCAATTTTAATTGTATTCCAAATTGTTACTTTTCAGCAAAAAGTATATAACTTGATTCCAATAACTTCACACCTAGTTTTTTTTTACTCTGTATGCTTAATCCTTATTTCTTCAATCGAAAATGATGCTATCTTCTCTTTTTTATATGAAATTTACTCTGAATTGAATGCTGGTGAAGTAGCTGTCGCAATTTTTTGCGATATTTCAAAGGCGTTTAATTGCGTCAATCATAAAATTATTTTATTAAAAAAACTTCATAAATATGGATGTAGAGGTGTAACGAACACTTGGTTCGAATCGTACCTTTTAGATCGGAGTCAAATGGTGAGGACAACGGAACTTTTGGAGAACAGGGCCATTGAATCTGGTGTTCCACAGGGTTGTGTGTTAGGCCCTATTCTGTTTCTGTTATATATGAATGACATATGATTAATATATCTGGTAGTTTCACTCTATTTGCGGATGATACTACAATATTGTGGAAAGAAAAAAACTCAATGGAGCTAAATAAAATGATATCATCTGACTTGAAGAAGGTGAAGAGCTGGTGCGATGCAAATTTACTCTCTCTCAATGCGTCCAAAACAAATATAATATCATTCAAATGTTCGCTAGATAAAATTTTAATAGACGCTGCCATATTAAATAATAAATTAAACACAAAGTTTCTCGGTGTACTCATTGATAATAGGCTGAAATTTGATGAAAACCTTAAATAACTGAAGAGTAAGATCTCTTCCGGATGGTATGCAGTTAGAGTGGTTTCAAATGAGTTGGGTGTCCATGTCGCAAAGACCATTTACCATGTACTTATTGAATCTCGACTACGTTCTGGAATACCTTTTTGGGGAGCATGCAACTCATCCCTTCTCTCTTCTGTATTGATATTACAGAAGAGGGCACTACGATGTCTCTGTAAAGTCAAACCCAGAGAATCTTGCAGGAATTTGTTCAGTGCCAATAAAATGTTAACAGTCATCGCACTTTTTATCTTAGAGACGGTTTGCCTTATTTACAAACATGCTTTTAGTCCTTATGCTACTCGCAATAGCAATTATACCTTTAGACTTCCCATCCCAACTTCGAATTTAATCAAGGATTCCATATACAATAATGGTGCTAAATTGTTCAATCATTTACCATTAGAAATAAGATATGCAAATTTAGGCAATATTCATTTCAAAAAGGCGGTGAAGAACCTACTTGTTGATACACCCTATTATAGTTTGGTAGAGTATTTTAGTGAATCCTTTTAACAATATATTAGCAATTTATTGTTTGTAGTATTACCTTATACATGGTGTTATTTTATCTATACATTTTTAGAACTTTTTTTATATTCACATTCATACATTTTTGGAACTTTTTTATATCTACATTTATACTTTTTTAGTACTTTTTCTATACCTATCAACATTGTATTTCTTGGACTTCGCCAATAAGATGCAAATCTTCGGACGATAAAGCATATTTTGATTTGATTTGAATGATGTATTCATTTATCTCACTTGAATAAAAAGAAATATAAATTTCCATAGGAACAGAAAATAAAGAGAGCCCATCAGACAATGAAAAAGAATCAAAAAAGCAAAGTGAACAAAAAAATTGAGAATGTAGCATCCTAATTGTTCAAGATACTTTCTCTTACAGAAAAAATATTACCATCAAATAAAAAACTAACTTGAAAATGACAGGGTGAGTGTCATCATTTTGTAATTTTTGGTGATTTGACTTTGCTCTCGGCAAATGTATTGATTACATTCTCAAAATCTAAGTTTTTGCGCAGTGGATTTCCCCATTGAGAAGGGCATGGTTTATGAATTTCAACTGGTTTCAACTTTCAGAAATAGAAAGAGTGGATACACCAACCACCTGTATGGTTTTCTATATTCCTGCAGAAAGTCGGTATCGTATTGACTAATTTTGTACAATAAATGAACAAATATATAACTGAACTTACTGTCAATTTCTTTTTGGACTTGTAACTCGCCCAATTCTGCGGTTCGAGAATGAGTTTTCCTCCGGGTTTCAGCTGCGCATACATCCTTCTGAAAGCCTGCTTCATGCCTGCATCTCCCCAATTCAGATGGATCCATTTGGTGATGCTGAGGCAGAGTATCACGTCGAACTGAGGCTGTTCCAAGACGATCAAGTTGTCGTCTTCTAGAATGTAATTACACTAGAAAATGAATAAAATGTGTTGAAATCACACAATCCCATCTACAATGTTTGGAAAGAAAGATGAAAATTTGTCCAATAGGACGTATTTTCTTCAGAAAAGAGGAGGTTTTGTTTGGCTGGCTACCCTACTCTAATGACAAATGTAAAAAATTAATTCTGGTATTATTTTCAAAACTGTGCTCAAAAATGAACCGGTTTTGGGCTATAACAGTAGAAATTTCACGCGTGAGATCAGTCCTATACCTACTAGCAATCAGAGCATTTAACAAAATTATTTTCAATGCTTGGAACCCATAATTTTAAAGCTTATTTCAGGATTTTTAGCTATGGTCTGCAGGTTTGTATTCCCTAAGTTTTGTCAACGACTTACGTAGATATTATTAAGGGTGATAAGACGACAGAATGAATGCTCCAGTTGCCTCATAGCAAACTTCGTTTGGTTTTCCGGTTTTATTCTATTGGTGATGACCTGTTAAGTGTACAATTGTGCTTAGGTAGCCATACTTCATTTATGTTAATTCTCTCTTCGTTTCGGATGGAACTATTTGTGTTTTTGAATTCCCATTGCCTCCCAAGATGTACAATTTCAGAATGTAGCTGAGAGTTCTATGGAGCACTGGGGTTTCATTAAACCAATAACGTGAGTGTCTTCTGTGAAGAGCGACATCATCCGATATGCCATCTTCCCCTCCGTTCACTAGTACATCCAAGAAGTGATTTGTTCCTTTGGTTTTCCGTTCCATTATGAATTGGAATGATGCAGTTCGAAAAAAATTCACTTAAGAGAAGTTGCTCAATTAGCAAATATGAATTCTGACGACCAGCACTCAACTGAACACGTCTCGAATTATATAATTAAACCATTGGGAATGAAGCAACACCCACCAAACTTGAAGATTTTATAACTTATGGACTTGCCGTAATGACACTTTTCCACTTGATACTTTGAGTACTACATCACAGATTAAATATATGTGACTACATGATAAAAAGAGACTGTGAAAGAGAAATGACAAATTATCCCATCCTTCACAATATTTCTCTTTCTTCAGGTCACATTTAGTAGGGAACAACCGACTTGAAGTATTATTACCCTTTTCAACAATGCAACCTTCATTCTTCTCCTTCTAAAGAAAATTTCATGAGTTATAACTAGTGTTCGACCGAAATTTCGGTTTTGGTCGAGTTTGGCAAAAATCGGGTTTCGCTTTAGTTTCGGTGGCAACCTGCCGAAAGTACGACCGACACCGAAACTGTATTCGGGGGTTCTCGCTCTGTGATCGGTCATGTTCGGCGCGTTGAATTTCATACAAAGGACGAAGACATTTTGCCGCGTCCACGTGCCTAATCATGTCGTGACTTAGTTTGTGATTTACTTTGTTTATTATATAAATATTAAGTACCTATTGTGATATTAGGTAGCAACTGAAATAATTTCATCAGTTCGGACTTCCATTGTCTAATATAATATAAATTGATTTGAAATCCCTGAAAAAAATTAAAAAGATTCCCATATTTTTTTGTATCAAGATGGAGTAATAGAAAGCCAAAAACTTTCTTTTCCAAAAATGAATCACTCCTAAAAATATAACCCCTTCAATTCGAAAATAACAGTTTTATTAAACAAAAAAGTGAAATTACAAAGAAATAACATACAAGCAACAACCAAAAAAATAAAAAATTGAAATATCAATACAAGCTGAAAATTAAAAAATTAAAAAATATTATTAACAAAAAATAAAAATTAAAAGATTCCAAACCAATTTACTTTATGACGTTTCGATTGTTAGTATCCACAATCGTCTTCGGGTGATAACTGGACTTATTCCTCCGAGGTCATTCGAGTGCTTTCACCTATCCCCTCTTCACTCTCTCCGCTTCATTGGTTTTAGCGGGAGATGACCGTTTGGCGGGAGTTGGTCGTTTTCCGCTTGATTAGAGATTTCCATATGTTACGTATCTCTACGCTAGCTTGCCTAAAAATGCGTTGTTGGACAACATATACGCGGCTTCATCTTTGTGGATGATTTCAGCTTGAGCCCAGTTGATGTTATGTTGATGAGTCCAAACATGCTCTGCTATTCCGGATTTGCTGGTTTCTCCTCACGGTGTGTTTTTCTTGTGCTCAGCAATGCGAACTTTCAATGGCCTCTTAGTTTCACCGATGAGTTGCACTCGCAGTGAACTCGAGTGCGGAGTGCACTCAGTTTTTTGTTTAATAAAATTGTTATTTTCGGTTAATAATTAATATTTTTCAGGGATTTCAAATCAATTTATATTATATTAGACAATGGAAGTCCGAACTGATGAAATACACCACGAAACATTGTCAACCACCTTCAATTAATATTTTTTCTTAAATAACGGATTATGTTGATTATCAATAAGTAAAAATGTCGAAGACTGCATAACGTTAAGATTTAAAGATAAAAAAATAAAGACTGACTGATCACAATAACGTTTTCTTTATTTTTTTCTCAAAACATAATCCTTGTAAGGAATTTTCGGTTTCGGCCGAAACTGCGACCGTTGCCGAAATTCGGTTTCGGTCGTAAAAACCAGTTTCGGTCGGCATTAGTTATAACGTCTATGCTCCAACCAAACTTTAAGAATTTGCTGTTAGGATACTTGGACCACTTTGTCCGTTGATACATTATTAGAGTGAAGGACTCAAAGTTGATCCTTGGGGTACAACTCTGATTATACCCTATTTAGTACCTAGCGCAGTTGTATACGAAACCCCAGACATAAAAACCTGCGGACCACAGTAAAAAAAACTTGCAAAATAGCTTTGGCGCAGTTATATTCTTCATGACCCCACCGTAAATCTGACTCACCTGTTTGAAAGTAACGTTGTTAGGAAATCCTGTCCCTTTGGGCGTCCTATCGTGGAATCCTATAACGTCAATCGCTCCATATAATATAGGCATGCTTATAGGAAAAAACTCACTACTTTTTGTTATGCCGCCCGAAGCGGGCGGCTGGCCATCGTCCCCCCGGGGCGATTCCTCTGTTTTCACGTAGTGTTTTATGTTCTTTCGCGCGATCGAAATTAGCGTTTGGTCAATGTCTATGCCCAGTATGGTACGCGCCCCGTAATCCCTCGCTACGGACAGGGTCACGTGACCGATGTTGCAGCCTATGTCCAGGATATCTTTGTTCTCGAACAGGTAAGTGTGATGGGAGAATACGCGCAGCCGGTGGTCGATCTCGTTGTGGGGATTTCTGTAGCCGTAATATCTGAAAAAAAAACATCTGTTGCAGGTGGTGACTTTATGAAAAGTGAGACCTTGTTCTACTGGCAAAATAGTTGAAGAGGGTACGTTATTGTGAGAAGTTGATTACTCAAACGTACTATCAGAAAAGCAAAATAAATTAATAGCGGGATTTAGTGTATGGGTTTCGGTTGATAAAAGACTTTACAAAAACCCTTCACAAATGGTTTCCATTATGAAGACTTGGATCACTGTTTAATGGCGATATGATTCAACAAAACGTGCAAATAATGGAATTGTTTTATCATCTATTCGCAATGTGGTGAATAAGTTTGAGCAAAGACTACAGAATACTATAAGACGTGTCACTCGCTCATTTTTCGACATCTGAGAAATCTCGCCGCCCGCTAGCGACAGCGGGTAATTACCAGCCGAGGTAGTACAGTGTGTCGCTTGAAGTTACCAGTTCTCTTCGGCACACGAGATATAAAGGTTGTCCGTATTGTTTGGTATTGTCAAAGACTACAGAATCGGTAAACTTTGGTATTGTGATTGTGTTGTGTTCGTTCGGAGTTCGAAATATTTATTTTGTGAAAATGTCGACGTATTGCTCAGTGGATGGTTGTCTGAGTACGGTGGGAAGCCCANGTTCCCATCAAGAGATATTGTTGACCATGTAATAGAGATGGAAAACATATTCATTGAAAATTTTGATAAAATCGGCAGTGAGAAGGGAATTGGACAGTATTTGAAAACAAAATATTCGAAAATTCTTTTCTCACATCCATGTCAAAAATTCCTCTTCGATTATTATATATCTTTATATACAAGAGTTCGGATATACTTTACTTTAAAATTCATGAACCAGGACATGAAGATTGTTAGGAAACATAAATCATGCAATGTAAAATTGAATATTTTAAATCATTTATAAACATATAACATTATATAATTGTATTATTTTTGTTAATAAAACATGTTTTTCTGAATGTATGTTTATCATTTCATCAGTAAATCACTCTGATCTGTTTCTTAGATCATTTATTCATGAGTTTATCTATCATGTTTCTAGAAGTTGATCGACAAACAACTACTTTCGTATCTTTGTTTATCTGTCTGATACAACCGAGCAAGCGAAGTTTCAACTTCGGAACGTCCCCTGTAGATATCGCGAATAGGAACTGCCCTCGTATAACTGTCATGCGGCCGGCGGCTTCCAGACATCGTCTGTCGGCGATATGATTTATGGAAATCGCAAAAAATGCAATCCTGAGCCGTACCGACAAACGAATTCCTTGGAGTGAACCAACTTATAGTATTCGGTAAACTTTGGTTTGAGTCCACTGGTTCAGTAAACGATCGACCAACACCCGTACGTCGACCCGAAACATCGCTGTCTGTGAGTCTGTGCAAAAGAATCCGAGGCAATCGATTTTGCGTCGCTCACAACCATTAGATCAGAAAGTAAAAGCACCTAAAGGCTGACTATCGATTGAAGGAGGTTAGATGATAATCTTGCTGAAGTGCCCACCAGTAATTTGAGGACCGCTCCGGAGGAGCAGGGGTGGATGGACGCGATGGGATGTTCTTCACACAGTAACCGTTTGGGAAAAATTTCAACTCAGGGCACTCAACCCGGGAGGGAGCATGGGGAGGCTCATAAGAACTCGACCTTTCGCAGACTTAGCGTGACTTGGGCCTGCACCCGAACAAAATTCAACTGACCCAGGAACCAAAAGTAAACTACCATAGCGACTACCATAGTGTGTTCGCTCAATTAGCTCTGAAGCAGTTGGAAACTGAACCTAATTTTCATCGAAAAACCATCTTTAGCGATGAGGATCATTTCTGGCGGAATGGGTAGTACGTGAACAAACAAAATTGTCGAATTTGGGTGATACCACTCCATATGAGACCCTAGAGCGTCCAACTCAACCCGAGAATTTCACTGTTGGTGTGGATTTTGGGCTGGCGGCGTTTTCTTCTTTTTTCTTTTGACCAACTTCTTGGGCAACTTCCTGGTTGCATCCCTCTTGGGATGCAACCAAGAAGTAGCCCTTATTCAGACAGACTGTGACATCACACCAGCCAGATTGCCTATCAGCTCGCCATACAAGGCAGACAGATCACCCAGTCAACCAGAGTACACCAAACTGTCACGTGGTGTCCCGACACCCAGCAGGAACCAATCGGAGTGTACCATATTGCCACGTATCGTCCTCAAATTGTCACGCAGCTTGCCAGCTAATCAGAGCACACGCTTCTGCATCTCAGAACATCGTGGGGGAGATTTGAATTTTCTGTGGACATAAATAATTCAAACATACGACCAGGCGTTTCCCTTAACTAGAGAGACCACTCAGTCACATGGCTCGCTTTTCTCAACCCGTCACTTTTTCCGGCTCTCCACATCTTTGTGATGTCTCAGCACACGTCATTGGGGAATTAAAAAAGATCGGAGAATTGAACGCTGCGCTGGTTATCGCCGTGGTAGGCTATGTCCTTAGACTCGACACCAACGTGAGATATTGGAAGTAATTGTGAAATAATTATAGTGATAATCTGATGTCATCGGTTTGTACCTCGAGATCTAGAACTGGTCCTCGAATTGGGTCCTCGATTCAGTCATTGAATCGTTCTTCGAATTGGTTTTAGTCCCGATTTAAAGTTACATCAACACATTTGAAAGAGCTGCAATTATGATCTGATAATTTTCTTTGTGAATACTTGAATTTTACGACCTTCAAAATAAATAATCGATTTTAATTTTTCACCCTCAAAATGGCCCCCAAAAAAGTATGTTACTTTTTAAATAGCTGTCCTATGAATTTGTAACCATCAATTTTTTATCAACGTAGTTCAAGTTAATAGAACGCTGCATTCAAAGTTTCAAACAGAAAGAAAATTAGTCAGTAGTAGAGTTTTATTACGTCGAATCGTGTTTTACCGCTGGGTCGAAACCTCTATTTCAAAGTAATTTCATTGCCCTCTTAGTTTGTGATCAAAAACACCTTTAGATTTCAAAGAAGTATTTCATTTTGAGTGTGTGAATTTTTCTCATTAGAGTTTTTGAAATAATTTTTTGTAACAGAATAATTTGTAGGTAGTTGTAATAGTATCAATATGGTATGGAAATTTTTTCCGATTGCCACGATTATTTTTCCAGTCGCGGGCGAAATCAGAGCCTCAACATCCAACTTGACCTTGCCCTGCGACGTCGCAACGCTCCAAAAAGTTCAACATTCATATTCAATGTTTGAAATAGCGTTTTTTGCAGAAAATTTCTGCATCTTTCACTGCCTTAACCACTGTGCATGCTGTTTTTGGCGAGTGCATTGGCTTGGGATGTGGGGGTTGAGCAAACAGGCCATCGGATGCCTGCTTCCACGTAGCCCCGCTGGATACGGGAATGACAGAATCACGTGTGGTTCTGTTATTCTTCAACTGAATGGCATCCCATCGATGGCTTAATCCTAAGGTGTGTTTATCCGTGTCGAGAGGATGAATGACACTGAGCCTATCAGCTGTCTCTGCGGAACCTTTGAGATACCGGGCACCCTCTCGTCGTAGCATCGCCTTGCCACGTTAATGCGGGGCTCTGCCGAGATTGACCTTCTTTCCCTAGCTACTCATGGGACTTTTATGGACAGCGTAAACTTAAAAATTCTTTCTGACGCTGAGTCTATAGAGGAGATGGATGTCGAGTTTACGACTCCAACTGACCTCCGTGTAAATTTAGTTCAGGAGCGAGAGCTTCTCAACTCCCCAACTCCTGATCCAATAACTAAACCTAAAAAAAGGTTTGATGGTGCAGTCAGGAAACGACTGAGTTGTCTCCTCAAGAGAGGGGGGTACCTTATAAAACCGCCTTGCACTAAATTCTTGGGCGGCGTACGAAGAATCTGTCTCAGGTACGCTCAAATGATGATTCATCAAAACCAGAGGCGAAAAAGCCCTGCACGGTTGAATCTAAAGCATCGTCAGGTGTAGCTGACGTGCAAGAACTCTCATATGGGAAGGTTTTCGCGGATATCGAGGTGGAAATCTTGCATCTTGACTATCGGACTACCTCATTAACGATGAAACAGCAGAGCATATACTTTGTGCCTGCCCCGCTGGGGACCGAATCAGGTTTTTAGAGTTCGGCAGAGCAATACTCTTACCATCTGACCTGAAAGACCACTCACCATACAAACTAATCGGCTTCGTTAAGAAGCTTGGTTTATTTGGTCGAGTGTGAATACACCCACTCACTACGGACCTAACCTAACCTAACCCCAATAGTTTTGGTAAAAATTTTAGCCTCTAATGTTCATAAAGAAATGGGTTACGAATTTTTGAAAAAAAGAATCATCTAGGATCTTGACTGGATCAGGTTATTATTTTTTCAAATGTGTGTTTTTTCTGTTAGCCATAAGAATATGCCAGAGAGGCAAATCGACATTTCGAACTACGCTCCAAAAATAACACACTTCTTTGGTCGCCACTTTGGGGGTGAAAAAAATTTTAAAAATCAATATTCCATGAGTGTCGTAAAATTCAAGTCCACGAAAAAGATTCGCTAATATAAACCCCCTCGGGTACTTCCAGGACCTTGATTCAACGATATATTTTACTAGTTATTTGCGAATATTCACAATCTCTGGCAAAAAAAAAATGTATACGCTTAACCGGTACTTATGATTCCAACATTGAGGCGATTCACCATACTTTCGTTTCGAATGTTGCCTAAAGGAGCACCATCATCCCCTGATAATGCTAAATTGGTTTGCGAAAAGCGCGTCGAGGGATAGTGTTTTTGTTCTGGTGTCATATTAATTTTACGCCACTGTTTCAAGTTCTATCTATCACATTGGAATATTGTCGTTTACAAAAAAAATCTAATCGTTTTTCTTCTCCTAATTTCTTTTCCGGGATATTTCAATCAGTTATCCTTAAAGTTCTGTTTCCTTTTTGTTACCATAATAATCGCTCTTGCTCTATTTAAAACACTCAGCATTAAAGCACGCTGATAACATTTCTTTG